TTATTATCCCATTTAACATTTCCCCCCAAAAAAACAAACAAAACATGCAAATGTTAGAGAATTTGACCCGATCTATTTATAATTGTATTCACCCAGAATTCACGCATTTTCCAATTGATCTCAAATAGAAAGTGTATGACTCTTGTGCAAATATTTATAAATAGACCCCTATGTTATACTTCACAGAATTGCATTTCAAGCAGAAATCCTCTTATTTCTCTATTATGAGGGCAGTTGCAGTTTAGTGTCAATTTTAAAGGGAAACTTGAAGGCCCTATACACATACATTTCAACATACACAGAGGTGATCATGGGCCCTAATAAGCAGCTCATCAGTCATGTTATTCATATACTACACCACACAATAAGGTAACAAAATAACAATGTTTGTATTAGTGTCTGTTATAAAACTTTGCAAATAAATAATCTTTCTTCATTCAGGGCCAGAATGTGCTCTGCTACATTTCTTTGATGAAAAAAGAACAACTATGGTATGTGTATATTATATATATATATGTATGTATGTGTGTATATATATATATGTATGTATGTGTGTGTGTGTATATATATATATATATATATATATATATACACACACACATACAATATTGCCAAAAGTATTGGGCCAGCCCTCCAAATCACTGGATTCAGGTGTTCCAATCCCCTCCATGGCCACAAATGTATAAAATCAAGCACCTAGGCATGCAGACTGCTTCTACAAACATTTGTGAAAGAATGGGTCGCTCTCAGGAGATCAGTGAATTCCAGCGTGGTACCGTGATAGGTTGCCACCTGTGCAATAAGTCCATCTGTGAAATTTCCTTGCTACTAAATATGCCACAGTCAACTGTTTGTGGTATTATAGTGGAAGCAACTGGGAACAGCAGCAACTCAGCCACGAAGTGGTAGGCCACTTAAAATGACAGAGCGGGGTCAACGCATACTGCAGTGCACAGTGTGCAGAAGTCACCAACTGTCTGCAGAGTCTGCAGAGAATGCATTAAGGTAAAAAACATTTCTGCCTTTAGAGCCACTTTATAGGCCAAACAAAGATTGGGTCTAAAGCCTAGGATACCTGATCTGATCCTAAACCTCAGGGAAAGGAATAAAGGACAATACATTCAAATGGTTGTAAACCCTTACATATACCCAGCGAACTGACTAGCCTCAGATGATACACAGATATCTGTAGACCTCTCTTCTCTACAATCTTTCAAATCACACAGATGAAAGGATTTTTCTCAGCAGTAGAAAGCAGGGGACATGGATCTGATGTCACACACTGCACAGCTAGAGCCCAGAGCTTCAATATAATCTGAGAACTAAGTGGAGAGAAAGGACCCCCCCCCCCTTTCACACACACTAGTTGAAGGAAAATACATTTAACTGTTGAATGAAGCAGCTTTCTCAACAGTAACAAACAATATGTGAGGAAAGGATCTATTTAAGAGAGACAATGAGAGTAAAAAGGGATAAACCATACAATTGTGAGAATATAATGTATACATGTATAGGGATCTCAGAAGGCTTTCGTATGCAAACCAAAGTATGGATGGCAGTTGGTGATTTTTCTGAGTGTTAGTATCCTATTATTTATAAGAGATCAGTATGATGTAGAGTAGACAGGTAAGCCTTCTTTCCACAATTGATGCCATAAGAATCCCCCCCGACTATAGTCTCCCACCTAGGGAAAGCTGTAGGCTAGCAACAGAGTTGTGTTTATTAATCTGTCAGGGATACACAGAAGTAACAAGATGAATATTGTCCTGTAAGCAGTAACAAATGTCAGATTTTTTAACAGAACCTTGGTTTTATATATAAAGGAAAAATGGATTTAGCATTCTAGTAAAAAGGATTTGAGTCCTACATGCAAAGGGTATGGGCATGCTGAGGACCGCCAACACTGTCAGTGTAAGGAGGGAAGCATCAGCCAAGGACAGAAGTAGTAAGCGATTATCTGGAAAAAAAAAGGATATTGCACAAACTCTTAAGGGTCTATTTATAGGGATTTTGTAGTGTGAATTATTTGTCACAAATAATACCCATGTTTATATTATGTGTGAAATGTCAACTTCTACCTGTTGTCATTCACAAGGCAACATAACATTCCCTAACATTCAATTCACAGAGAAAATAGCATTAAGAACATTCAACCAAAAAAAGATAAAGAGCATTTGGCCAATGGAGAAAATTGTCTTAAAACAGGAAATAATATGAGAGATCCCGGCTCTGTAAACAAATGTTATTGGGATATTTCCTCTCCAGACTGAAAGTTTTGCCTTTATTAGAATCGAGTAAATCAGGAAATACCACATTATGACCACTAGATGTATTTTACAATCATAATAAAAAAGTATTTAAAGCAGAATGAAATCTGTTCCATTTTAAATTGGTAGTTTGAAATTATACTGTGCTAGTTTGCACAGCAGATTAGCACATTATGGCAGACTTATTCCGTTCAAAACTGTGCTATTAATGTTCCCGCTGGACACGGGCACTGCCATCCTCTCCCAGTCTTCCTTCCAGGTTCCCACTCTTCGGTGTCTTGATTGACCAGGCTGCAATGTTTGCTGTAACTGATTATAAAGCATTAGCTTGAATTTGGCTTCAGTTTGTTAGTGTATTTAAATCTGCCAGTATATTTAGCACTATCCTTCCCCCAGACTGACAGTGCTGCTATACAAAGGTGCCCCTGTGCTCCTTAATCCCGAGTGGGGGCACTCTAATACAGTAGGTGTGTTACTGGCCAGATCACCAGGTGAAAACGGAAAAAAACCAACGCAGTCACATCTAAGAGCTGATTCACACATGAGTGGTGTGGATTGAAGCTCAAGTTTCACAGCTAATTGACACAGAGGTGTTCAGCAGTTCAGGTCAGGTTTACATCAGGTTCAGATCAGGTTGAGGTCAGGATTTTATCCTGTTCACAACTGATGACATGTGCAGTTTAGCCACCTCCCACCTGGCCAATATACATAAATGGCCAGGTGGGAGCTTCCCTGTTCTGAGTGGACGTTTCTGTACATCCCTCAGAACACGTGCCTGAGTGCGGCCTCAAGGCCATGCAGCAGCGCAATTCTGTGATGGTTGTGTCCAATCACAGCCATCTCTGAATGTCAACAGAGACATGTGTCTCTCTAGCGGTTTCCCTCCGCTGAACTCTGTGAGAGCTTGGGGGCACAGATCTGCAGCCATCCCACACCAGTGCACCAAGCACAATTTGTCAACATCTGTCACAGTGTCCCACAAACATCTGTCAACATCTGTCAGTGTCCCGCAAACATCTGTCAACATCTGTCACAGTGTACAGTGCACAAAAACATCTGTCACGGTGTACAGTGCACAAAAACATCTGTCACAGTGTCCCACAAACATCTGTCACAGTGTCCCACAACATCTGTCACAGTGTACCAGTGCACAAAAACATCTGTCACAGTGTACCAGTGCACATAAACATCTGTCACAGTGTACCAGTGTACAAAAATCATCTGTCAGAGTACCAGTGCACAAAAACATCTGTCACAGTGTCCCACAAACATCTGCCAACATCTGTCACAGTGTACAGTGCACAAAAACATCTGTCACAGTGTACCAGTGTACAAAAACATCTGTCACAGTGTACAAGTGCACAAAACATCTGTCAGTGTCCCACAAACATCTGTCAACATCTGTCACATGTACAGTGCACAAAACATCTGTCAGTGTCCCACAAACATCTGTCAACATCTATCACAGTGTACCAGTGCACAAATCATCTGTCACAGTGTACCAGTGCACAAAAACATCTGTCACAGTGTACCAACCATCTATCACAGTGTACCAGTGCACAAAAACATCTGTCACAGTGTACAGTGCACAAAAACATTTGTCACAGTGCGCAGTGCACAAAAACATTGTCACAGTGCACAAAAACATCTGTCACAGTGTACCAGTGCACAAAACATCTGTCACAGTGTACCAGTGCACAAAACATCTGTCACAGTGCCAGTGTACAAAAACATCTGTCACAGTGTACAAGTGCACAAAAACATCTGTCACAGTGTCCCACAAACATCTGTCGCAGTGTACCAGTGCACAAAAACATCTGTCACAGTGTACCAGTGTACAAAACATCTGTCACAGTGTACCAGTGCACAAAATAAATAAATAATAATTAAAACATATACGCATATGTAAACAGCGATCGCATCACACATGTGAGTTATGGCCACGAACATCAGAGCGAGAGCAATAATCCTAGCACTAGACATCCTCTGTAACTCTAAACTGGTAACCTGTAAAGGCTTATAAAATGTCACCTATAGAGATTTTTATATACCGTAGTTTGGCACCATTCCATTAGCATGCACAATTTTAAAGCATGACATGTTTGGTATCTATTTACTCGGTGCAACACCATATTTTATATTTTATCAAAACTGTCGGTATTATATTGTGCTTGTGTGCATTAAAATTCTTTAAAGTGTATTCTTTAAAAAAAAATTGCGTTTGAAAAACCGCTGCGCAAATACCGTGTGACATAAAAAAAATAGCAAAATCCACCGTTTTATTCTATAGGGCTTCTGCTAAAAAATCTGTAATGTTTGGGGGTTCTATGTAATTTTTTTTTATAAAAATACGGATTTTTACTAGTGAACAAAAAAGTGTCAGAAGAAGGCCTGGTCTTAGACTGGATTATGCCTGAAGGTGCCTGAATGAGAAAATGTCTCACACATGTGGTATCCCCATACTCAGGAGGAGTAGCAGAATGTGCTTTGGGGTGTAGTTGCAAGTATGCCTATGCTGTGTGTGAAAAATAACTTGTTAACCACTTGCCTACCGTACACATATTCCCCCTTCCTGCCCAGGCCAATTTTCAGCTTTCAGCACTGTCCCACTTTGAATGATAATTCCGCGGTCATGCAACACTGTACCCATATGAAATTGTTATTATTTTTTCACACAAATAGAGCTTTCTTTTGGTGGTATTTAATCGCCACTGGGTGTTTTATTTTTTGCACTATAAACATAAAAAGGAGCAAGAAATTAGAAAAAAAAGTTTCTTTGTTTCTATTATAAAATTTAGCAAACAGGTAATTTTTCTCCTTCACTGATGTGCGTTGATGAGGCTGCACTGATAGGCAGCTATGATGAGCACTGATAGGTGGCACTAATAGGCACTGATAGGCGGCACTGATGAGGTGGCATGGATAGGCAGCACTAATGGGCACTGATAGGCAGCACTGGTAAGCGGCACTGATGAGCTAGCACTGATGAGGTGGCACTGATGATGCTGAACTGATATGCAACAATGATAGGCGCTGATAGGTGGCATTGGTGGGCAGCACTGCTGGGTGGCATTGACTGACAGCACTGACTGGCGGCACTGCTGGGCACTGGCTGGTGGCGCTGATGGGTCGCAATGCTGAGCAGCACTGACGGGGGACAGTGCTGGGCACTGGTGGGTGGCACTGCTGGGGCACAGATGGATGGCACTTCTAGGCACTGCTGGGCACAGTTGGGTGGCACTGATGGGCACAAGTGGGTGGCACTAATGGGCACAGGTGGGTGGCACTGCTGGGCACTTGTGGGCGGCACTGCTGGGCACAGATCATCAGTGCCCTGATGGTCAGTGCCGATCCATCCTCTAACAACTGACGGTTATAGTGCAGGCAGGGGCGGACTGGCAACTCATGGGGAGCCCGGGCAATAGGGGATTATGGGGCCCCTGTGTCCTTGCCCAAACTCAAAAAAGTCTATGAAAAAGGTACCAGGGGCATCTCATGGGGCCCCCTACTGACCCAGGCATACTGGTAGGATATCATATGACGCCATCCCAGAACTGGACAACCGCGCTGTAGCCATCATTCGGCTATAGCGTGGTTGCCAAGTGGTTAATACAACGTTTTTGTGAAAAAAAACCCACACATTTTATTTACTTTCTTTATTTTCAAAGAATTGTGGGAAAAAATTACAAAAAACTCACCTTGCCTCTTACTAAATACCTTGGAATGTCTGCTTTCCAAAAAGGGGTCATTTGGGGGGATTGGTACTGTCCTGGCTTGTTAGTGTCTCACAAAATGAGATAGGCCAATGATTGGTACCACAGACTAAGGAATATACACTCATTTGGATTATTTTTACCAAAGCAATGTAGCAGTATGTTCAAAATGTATGAAGAAAAGTTTCTTTTTTGCTAACTTTTATAACAGAAATCAAGAAAAATGTGTTTCTTTTTCAAACTGTTCAGTATTTTTTAATTTGTAGCAAAAAAAAAATAGAGAACCCAGTGGTGATTAAATTCCACCAAAAGAAAGCTATATTTGTGTGGAAAAAAATTAAAACAAGTTCACAAGGGTACAGTGTTGCATGACTGAGTAATTATTATTCAAAGTATCAGAGTACTGAAAGCTGAAAATTTGCCTGGGCAGGAAGGGGTTGAAAGTGCCCAGCATTGAGGTGGTTAGAAACAGTTCCCATAGAAGTCAATAGCCTGTAATCCGCACCTGAACCGGACCGCACTGCCAGTGCACCAGACATATGTGAACAGGCACCATAGGAAGCAATGTTATTTCATGTATCATGCAGATTGTAATGTGGTTCAAACCGCATCCAGTCTAAATATATGGGACCTGGCCAGGGGCGGACTGACCATTTAGAAACTCGGGCACTGCCCGAGGGCCCGGGTCAGTAGGGGGCCCCATGAGATGCCCCTGGTACCTTTTTCATAGGCTTTTTTGAGTTTGAGCAAGGACACAGGGGTCCCATGATCCCCTATTGCCCGGGGGCCCCATGAGTTGTCAGTCAACCCCTGGACCCAGGACTAATGATTGGTATATTACATTTTGGCTTTTGGGTTTAAGTCCTCATGCACACTGGACGTTTTTACAGCTGTTGCTTTTGGTGGTTTTTTCTACTGCCAGTAAACTCCCCAGCATGTTATCCTATGTGTCCATGCGCACATAGGCTTTAATGAGCTTTTTTTGGCAGGCACGTTTTTTGACTGGAAAAAAACCCAGAACTAGCGGGTTTCTAGAAGAGTTTTTTAGCTGTAAAAATGCTGTAATGCTGTACAATGCAGCAAACTGGTGTTTTTTATATAAAAACTGCTAAAAACGCAAAAGTGGTAAACTATGGCTCAACACTAATGCAAAAAATGCTAAAAAATGTTGAAAAACTTGCGTCTTTAATGCGACTTTACACAGCTAACGGTACCAGTGTTATTAAATGCCCAGTGTGCATGGAGCTTAAAACCCCTTGAGCTACTATACAGAAATAATGCAATGTTGCAGCGAGAGAGCTCTGTTATTTCACAAGTTTAGTGGACTGAAACATTTTTTACAGATCATATTAACAATGGAGTTCTGTCTCTGCAACATTGTATTAATTCTGTATAGCAGCTCACTCACTGCAATAGCCAATTCATTACACTGCCAGCAGTGAGCATATGAATTTCCATACACTTAACAGAGGTCTTCCTCACAATAATTTTTTCTCTTCTGGTCAAATGTTCCTGGCCTGTAGTCTTAGGCTATTTTCTCTATTGCACGGGTGTCAAACTGGCAGTCCTCCAGCTGTTGCCAAACTACAAGTCCTATGAGGCATTGCAAGGCTGGCAGTTACAAGCATGACCCACAAAGGCAGAGGCATAATGGGACTTGTAGTTTCGCAACAGCTGGAAGGCCGCCAGTTTGACACCCCTGCTCTATTGGGTAAAGAAGAATTCCAGGATAGGCAAAAAAAATCACCCATTAGTACACCACCATACACAAAACACTAAACAGTAAATACATTTGTGAAATTCCTTACCATTGAAAAGAAAAGTCTAATTGAATTTTCAGGAAGTCATTTCTGTAATTCAAAAGATAACAGCATCTGCTCTGCCAAGTGTAACAAGCAGGGGTGACATCATATTCTCTCCTCTCAGGAAACAACACTTCCCATCAACCTTTGGGAATTGTAGTGAATGTGGGTGGGTACACTACGCCTGTACATGTTGAATATTTACACGCCCACTTCAAAGGAAAACACGCCCACGCATTCCCCAGCTGCCACTGCTTTCCTCACATGTGAACACTCACCCTCCAGTCACAACATAATAGGAACTAATTGCCCTGATGTTCTGTTTTTAATCCCTGAATAAATATGGCCACATGCCCAGAATTAGATTGTTTATCTACTGCTGTCTGCTGGAATTAAATATTAGAATTCTTCTTCCTATTTTGCTAACAACTTCTGCTGCTTGTCCATGTGATCACATCCCTGGCCACAACAGAACAGAAACAAAGCACTGGGACATTAGTCTGTGTTTTTAATCTGCCCAGCAACAAGTTGGCCAAAATAAAGAAAAATTAAAAAAATCAAACCACAGAAAAAATATGCATGCAAAAATGCAAAAATGCACTGTAAAACAGACAAAATGTAAACTGCATTGGTTTTTGAGTTCTTCTGAACCAGGCCTCAAATGTATTGAAAATGCAGCAAAAGCGCATATGTGATACATTTTTGATGTGTTTTGCAATTTTTATCTGCCCAGCAACAAGCTGGGCAAAAAAAAAAATGTATAAATGCAAAACGCATCAAAAAGGCGCATGCAAAAATGCATAACAGACTGCAAAAAGCATGGCATTGGTGTGAACCAGGCCTGAAATGCATTGAAAATATTGTTTTTTACGATTTTCTGAACCAGGCCTCAAATGCATTGAAAAAGCTTCAAAAGCACACACGTGTTATGTTTTTGATGCAGTTTGCATTTTTAATCTGCCCAGCAACAAGCTGTCCAAAAAAAAAAAAAACACATCAATAAATGCATCAAAAACGCATATGCAAAAATGCACTGCAAAATGGACAAAACACAAACTGCATTGGTGTGAACCAGGCCTGAAATGCATTGAAAACGCAGCAAAAATGCATTGATGAAAATTTGCTGGTAAAATCGTGGAAAAATCACTGCAAAATTATGGATAAAATCATGGGTAAAATCACTGCAAAATCCTGGGTCAAGTTGCGGCAAAATCCCGGGTAAAAGCGCAGCACAAATGTGAGTAAAATTGCGTTTTCGGTGGCCATTATCTGCACCTTTTTTCCTATTGGCAAAATGCATATAACAAAATTTTCGGCCACAGATATATCGCTGCATCCATGATATGTATAGCATATACATTGTTACTAGTGGAGGAGGTGTAGAGACTCCTAGCTGAAGGTATGGGAGTGGGACAGACCCACAGAGTCCTGAGCTGTCATTCTTAGAACACTGCCTGGGTGGGAGGTACAGACCAGGGGTCTGACTCCGCCCACTACAGTGAGTAGGGAGGAAATACATCACAGCTTCCCAGAGGAAGAACTACAGAGGGGCGGGACCAAGACCAGTGTCTGGGCGAATAGGAGGAATAGCAGCCACTGGTCTTACAAACAGGAAACCACAGGGGATTAATAGTTTGATTTGAAAATCATCAGCTTATTTCAGAGCAACTACTGAGTTAACCAGAAGTGGGCATAACATTTTTATTAATGTACAGTACATAGGTCATTTAAATTTCCCGTGTTAGTAGAGTAAGGTCTCGTTTACACCATGATGCAGAGACATCAGTTTTTCTGCACATGGTTTGCAAGAGCTCAAAAAAATCATCATCACTAGTAGCAGGTGCAAATTTTTTCTGCGTAGCAAAATACAACATTTATAAAACTCACTGAAATGCACATGAAAAATTGATGGAAACTTGTGTCTTCGCAAGTGAAATCTGCTCATTTTTTCCATCAGTTTTTATGCATGTATGGTGTGAACGAAGCCTAAGTCTTGCTCTTCTTTTTTACTGCAGGTAAATTATTGGATTTCAAGCAGAAGCAATATGCCTTCATTGAGTTTTTGATGAAGGCTGTAGGACACTGATGGTCTCCTACTGTGTGGTTTGTCTTCTCTTCTGGTTTCCTCTTCTTACTTCTTCATTCATCTGTGCGCATCACTCTTCAATTGTGTCATCTGTGTAAAAATCCTGTAGCCCTCTGACTTCTGAAGCTGTTGGACAGCCTGTAGCCCTCCTTCATCAAGAATTTAAAGAGGAACTATACTCACAATGAATCCAGCAATACGCCATTCCCAGAAGTCCCCACCTATCAATGACATCTTTGGGTGGCCGGCTTCTGGCCTCTAGCGCTGGCCACTGTCATTGGCCAAGTGGAGATGACACCACTTCTGCGCATGCACAGTAGTTCCATCAGATTATGCATTGCCAAATTTGTGCTGTGAGGTGCGCTTGCACAGCTTGCTATACAGGGCAGACAGACAGGAAAGAAGCTTTAATGCAGAAGTAACAAATCATGTCTCTTCTGCATTAAAAATTTTGCTCCATGAGACCCTGCCTATTGATCTGTCTGGGTGTATGAAGCACTAGGATTGGTGTGTATCCACCGGCACAATTCGAACGCTTAAAGTCAATATTCACCATATTCTGATCTTGGTAGATAACCAATATAGTTTATATATATATAGTTTTACTAGGTTGTTACTGTTTTTTTTTTATATACAGGGCCCTCTATCAGTTGCCACAATATTAGTACTATGGTGTCCGTTTATGACACACAGAATAGCTGAGATTCAGAGGATCACAGCTATTCTCTGGTCATTCACAGTTTATGACACCCAGGAGAATATGTTCAGCCCTACTCTGGAGATCTGTGTTCTCCCTCCAGATTCTCCAGCCCAGAGCTGGAGAATCGGAGGGACTGCAAACTAAGCAGAGATAATTTACCTCTGCTTAGTAAACTGATCTTTTACTGTGATCTCGTGAGATTATAGTAAAATCAGCCGTTTTCCAGCATTTGTAGACCGTTCTCCCTTCGTTTGTAGACTTTTCTCCCTTCGTTTGGAGAACTGATCTACGTATGCTTCATAAACGGCATTCACAGGAGAACTGTGTTCTCCGAGAATGCCGGAGAACTGAGCAGCGATCTATTACTGCTGGTTCATAAACGGACACCTATATCTCTTTTGTTTAGGCTTGTTACCTCTACTTTTTGCACCAACTGGCCGGTTTATCCTCCCATTGATCTTACCTGATCCCATTGAAGGTCGACCACATAGGACATGCATCCATGTGTGCTTTTTTTATATATATATTCCTGTTTTTGGGTATGTATTAGTAGCCCATGTTACATGAATGGCCTTATTGTTTATGTTTACATGTGGTGTTTATCCATATGTGTTTTCATCCTACACCATTTTCTCACTCCTGATGAAGGCTCATCAAGAGCTGAAGCTGAGGTTTCAAAATCTTGAAATCCATCTGGACATTTCTCAACAGATGGAATTAATTGACTCACTTATGTAGTTATAATCTAGCTCAAACTGGTCCATTATATATGTTATGTGTAATTTGTAATCTTGTCCAATACATTTTGTACTTTTTTATATTCATGGTGTTGTTGTTTGGTACCTAGAGAGTCCCACCCTTCTCTTTTCTTTTTTCATTTAGTACAGTTTCTGGGATGTGGTACCTTTTTATTATTGATAGTCTTAGACTTGGCACAATTTTACACATTGATAGTAAATATTGTCCCTTGTGCTAATTGTTTTTAATCATTTGACTAAACTTTGTCTTTAACGTGACAAAAAACATCTGCAAGTAATGGAGAAGAGTCACTCATTTGGATAATTCCATTCTATGTGTACATAGGCTTGAGCTATCAAACTTTGTAAACAGGTAAGGATATTGTCAAATATAGTATGTGAAATGGAGCCTAGAACGTTACCGATTGGCTTGAACTGAAACAACAAAATATTCATATATGCAATATTTTATGTGTGCTTCACTAGAAAAAAAGAAAATATAATTGGAAAAATATAACATGGGCAAAAAAATGCGAAATGAGACTGTGGAAAAACTCATATGATGACCTAATGAAATGCAGACGGAT